TGAACTTGCATCATCTTGTATTATCTTGAACTTAGCTGATTCTGTAATTAGAAAATTAGGGGTTTATGAATCAGCCAAGGACGTATGAGACAAATTAAATGAAATGTATACTGAAATTTCTCTTCCAAATAGAATACATCTTTTAGAAAAGTTTTTTAGTTACAAATTAGACCTTTCAAAGTCAATAGATGAAAATTTAGATGGTTTTACCAAATTAATTCAAGATATTAAACTAACAGGGGACAAAACAATAGATAATTACAGCTCTATTGTCTTGTTAAATGTCATTCCTAGTTCATATTCAGATGTAAAATCAACAATAAAATATGGTAGGGATGTAATTACACTTGATGTGGTTATAAATGGTCTAAAAAGTAAGGAAGTAGACTTGCAACTTAATAAATCTAACAAACAATCATATGGTGAAGTCATGCATGTTAGGGGTAGATCTCCTTTTAGGCCTAACAAGAATGGTTCTTCTTTTAATACTAATAAACATGGAAACAGCTCCTACAATAGTCAATATAAGAAGAAACCTAGAAGTAAGTCAAGAAATAGGTCACAAACACCCTCTAAGTTCATTAGAAGGTGCTTTAATTGTGGGGATCCCTCACATTTCATTAGGAACTGCCCTAAAAAAGGTAGAAACAATGCAAACAATAATAACAATTTGAACATAGGAACAACCCCTATGAATGCTGTTTTGAATGAGCAAGCAAACTTGATATTACATGATGAATGTGCGGGTGAAGTGTTTGCTGTAACAGCTGATTGTTCAAATATAACAGATTTTAACAAAAATGAGTGGTTATTAGACTCGGCTTGTACCTATCATATGACTCCTTTTAAGGAATTTTTTTGTGATTACAAAACTCTTTCAAATTGCAATGTTATAATGGCTGATAATAGGGTTTGTGGAGTCGTGGGAATAGGGACTGTTGTGTTAAGATTTGGTTCAGGAAATGTGTTGAAACTTTGCAATGTGAGACATGTTCCAAATTTGTCAAAACAATTTGCTTTCTTGTGTTGGTTTGTCTTCTCTAGGATTAGAGGGGAAATGGGGAATGAATTTTATGAAAATTACAAAGGGTTCTTTAGTTATTTTCAAGGCTGTTTTGAGGAATAACCTCTATGTGGTGACTGTTGTGCCTGAAATTAAATCTGAATTGTGTGTTAATGTTGTAAAGGATAACACTGTGTTGTGGCATAGAAGATTGGGTCATTTGAGTAATAGAGGGTTAGAAATTTTACAAAAATCTGGATATTTTGGTCTTGAAAAACTTTCAGCTTTACCATTTTGTGAAAATTGCATTTATGGAAAACACCATAAAGTTTCATTTCCTCAAAAACCAACTGAAAATAGAATTTTTTCAAGAGATTGCTTGGAATATCTTCACTCGGATGTGTCGGGTCCTTCAAGTGAACCCACACATGGAGGGAGAAGATATTTCTTGTCTATAATTGATGATTTTTCAAGAAAGGTTTGGATTTTTTTGCTGAAACAGAAATCTGATGTATTTGAGACTTTTAAAAACTGGAAAATTGAAATTGAAAATCAAACGGGAAAGAGGATTAAGTCCTTAAGGACTGATAATGGTTTGGAATTTTGCAATACATGGTTTGATAATTTTTGTATTGAAAATGGAATAAGAAAGCATAAAACAGCCCCTTACAACCCCCAACAAAATGGGGTTGCTGAAAGGATGAACCGAACTTTATTGGAAAGAGTTCGAAGCTTATTAGCTTCTTCGGGTTTATCCAAGAGTTTTTGGGGCGAGGCTGTTAAAATAGCCACCTACCTAATAAATAGATCTCCCTCAGTACCTTTAAAAGGTGCTTGTCCCGAGTATATTTGGAGTGGTAGACATATAGATTTGTCAAATCTAAGAGTCTTTGGTTGTTCAGCGTTTGCACGTGTTTTAAGTGATAAACTTGAGCCTAGGGCTGAGAAATGTGTCTTTCTAGGATATCCAGAAGGAGTAAAGGGATATAGGTTGTGGTTAAATTCAAAGCCTGGTTTTAAAACATTTATTAGTCGAGATGTAGCATTTAATGAAACTGAAATGCCCTGTTTGAAAGAAAATCAGTCTAAAATTGATGAAAATTCAATAATAAGTAACTCAAATAATACTCCAAGTGAGGTTGAACAAATTCATTTTAATCCAGCCGAAGAAGAGGCTGAATTAAGTGAGAATTTTGCTCCAAATGAGGCTGTTTTTTATACAACCAGTGCTGATCCAGATTACAGCACAGAAGTTGCTAAATTTGGACCAGGCAACAGTCCTGGAAATATAAGTGAAGTTTCTGTTTCTGATCTTGCTGATGTTGAACCTTATAATCTTGAGAATTATCAATTAACTACGGATAGAAGTAGGCGGAACATTAGGCTTCCATCTAGATTGAATGACTTTGATGTTACTTCATTTGTTCATAATGTGTTTGAGTCATTAGATGGGAATGAACCAAAGTCATACCATGAGGCAATAAACTCTAAACATAGAAATGAATGGGTTAAGGCTATGAATGAAGAGATGAAATCTCTAAATGATAATAATACCTGGAATTTGGTGCAAAGATTGCCTAACTATTCTGTAATTGAATGTAAATGGTTGTATAAAGTCAAACAAGGTGAAAATGGAGTTAGATTTAAAGCTAGATTAGTTGCTAAGGGATATACTCAAAAAGAAGGTATAAATTACAATGAGATATTTGCGCCGGTTGTTAAATATTCTACTATAAGATGCATGCTTACTTTGGTTGCTTATTTTGATTGGGAATTGATACAATTAGATGTAAAAACAGCATTTTTACATGGTGATTTAGTTGAGAAGATATACATGAAACAACCGGAACATTATCTTGATAAAAATAAAACAAATCATGTTTGTCTTTTAAAGAAATCACTCTATGGATTAAATTAGTCCCCTAGGCAACAGAACTTAAAATTTGATGAATGCATGAGATTTATGGAATTCATTAGAAGTAACTTTGACCATTGCTTATATTTTAAGATAACATGTAAATATCCTATATTCTTACTGTTGTATGTTGATGATATGTTGTTGATGGGTCCTTGTTTGAAGTCAATAAATCATGTGAAAAATTGTTTAAGTAAGAAATTTGATATGAAATATTTAGGGGATGCAAAAGTAATACTTGGCATGAATATAGTGAGGAATAGAAGAGAGAATATGTTGTTTCTTAACCAATCTTCTTATATTAAGAAAATTCTGAAAGAGTTTTCAATGTGTGATGCAAAATGCTCAACAGTCCCTTTAGCATCTAATTTCATTTTAACTAAAGAACAATGTCCAAAATTTGAAAGTGATGTGATTTACATGAAGAATGTTCCTTACTCTAATGCCATAGGCTCCATCATGTACCTAATGGTGTGTACTATACCCGATTTAGCATATGCCATTAGTTGCTTGAGTCAATATATGGCTAATCCGGGTGTGGAACATTGGAATGCATTAAAATGTGTGTTTAGATATTTGGTTGGTACTATGGATGTTAGGTTTCATTTATACGCGATATTGTGTCAAAAGGGTTTTTGAAACTTGAAAAAATTCCAACTGAATATAACCCTGCGGACATGGGGACTAAAGTTTTGTCGTTTTCAAAATTTAACTTGTGTAAGAAAATGGTGTACATTGATACTTTTGATTAGAATTTGGTTTTTTCAAACTGTAATTTACTTTTTTTTTCCCTGGTTCTGGTTCTGTTTCTGTTTTTTTGGGTGCTGGAATGGAAATTTTTTTGTTTGTTTTGTTTTGAGAATTCTAATCTTGGTAGGTAAGTCCGCAGGTTAAAAGATTGAAAGCGATCATTGCTCGGACCGTGATGTCATCCATGATGTGCCACTTTTTCCATGCCCAAAAAGGTGAAGATTGTGGAGTTATTTTTTGCCAATGACAAGTGAGGCCGGTAATGTACAAACCCGCACAACCCGAAACCCGGATCCAGTGACCCGAACCAGATCCGGTTCTTTGTGAAACCGGCGGTCCATAGCTGAACCGCCCAAGAACCGAACCCGGCCCGGTTCTGTCTCTGATATATAAAGGGGCAGAGGGGAGGGGGGACCGGTCTGATAAAGAGACACATACATACACTCACTCATCCTCACATTCTCCCCCCCCCCCATTCTCTAATCTTCTCTCTAGAAGCCCTAATTGACGACGGCAACTCCAGCGATCTTCCTTGGGTTTCTCCGGTGATCTGTCCGGCGATTCGACTGGTTCGACTGAGCTCTTCGATAAACAGCCTGTGCTGAGGCTGTTCCTCGGTTCGATTTACGATTTCGAGCGTTCCTTTCCAATGTATTGATTATATTGTCTGTTGGGAAGGATTAGGCTTAATATCGCTTGTGTTTTCGTTAGATCGTGGTTTGGTTCGCATGTTTGTTGCGTTTCCGTGGATGTCGGTTGTGTTTGGGTTGATATTGTGCGTTACAGTGGATTTTAGGATCGATATTAGATTGGGTAACCTGAGTCCGAACATTTGCTTTCGTTTAATAAAAAATTCTTTAAGTTCTTTGGTTTAATTAGTGGTTTTATTGTGTATATATGATATATTGATCTTGGATGTGTAACAACAATGACGAAGATATTATTTTTAATTTGATGAGTATTTTAACTCGGCTTTCCAAGCTCAAATAAGACACAAATTCTCTACCATCCGATCCATTGACTATCTTTATACAACCACTACCACATAATTAAACATGAATGATTCTTGGAGTCATCGTTTTCAACGCCACGGCACATGTACCATCTGCGAACAAAATAGTAATAATACTTGAAAAACATGTGCGCACATAGCATCCCAATTCAATTCATTAATCAGGTAGCAAGCCATCCATCTGCATGTCCTTATTAATCAACGGTCGCATTTATTACATTTAACTTTCAAATAATGAAGAAAGCTGGCAGGTTGTTTGGCTGGCAATCCATTTGTGAGCTTGTTGCTACTTGCTAGGGAGGGACAGGCTCGGGGACAAGGACTCGGACTCGGACTCAACCTTACCTGGATGCATATATATATATCTTTCAACCCTACTTGCCTTATAAGCTTAAATTCATCCACCTGATTTGAAGCACATTCTTGCCTTGATTCATTGCTCTGTCTACCTTCTTCGTCTTTATCATCTTCATTCATCCATGTCGGCGGCTGCGGCGATTCTCTCCCCCAATCCTGCGGTCCCGGACCTCAAGCTGACAGTCCACGAATCCACCCTGGTATCCCCGCCACCACCATCTCACCCAAAATCCCTCTTTCTCTCTAACATCGACCAGATCCTCAACTACAGCGTCCCCACCGCCTACTTCTTCCCCTCCAACCCCGACTTTCCCCCGCAAGTCATCGCCCAACGGCTCAGAACCGCACTCCAGAGACTGCTGCTCACCTATGACTTTATGGCCGGAAGACTCAAGTTGAACCAGGAGCTACAGGGCCGCCTTGAGATAGACTGCAACGCCGCCGGGGTAGGCTTTGTGGTGGCTTCTTCTGAGTTATCCCTTGCCGATCTCGGGGATGTGGTCCGTCCCAACCCTGCCTTCCAACACCTTGCGCCGGAAACCCTGGATAACATTAAAGATGGGGATCAACCACTTTTCACTCTTCAGGTAATTCGATTCATTCATGACTTCAAGTAATATAATATGTACTGCTACACTGTGCAGTGCTTCATTGGTCGAAGATAGATAGATAGATAGATAAGCTTAATTACGATATTATAAATTTGTTGATGGCGGGGGGAGGCATGCAGGTAACGTCGTTCAAGTGCGGCGGTTTTGCGATCGGCATGTCATCGAATCACATTCTTTTGGACGGAATGAGCGCCAGGGCATTCAAGCAAAACCTGGCCTCCCAGGCTTTCGAGGACGAGAGGCCCTTGGCGGTTATCCCCTGTCTCGACCGTCGCCTGCTCGTTGGCAGGTCTCCACCGCAAGTGGATTTCCAGCACCAGGAGTTCTTCATACCGGAGACGGCCCCCAATTCATCAGGCCCTCCAGTCTTCGATTGCCAGAGAGAAGAATTGGAGTTCAGAGTGTTCAGGCTAACCCCAGCCGACATAAAATTTCTCAAGGAAGTGGCAGCTGCAGATGCAGATGCAGATGGTCGCACTAATACCAAGATCAGCAGCTACAGCGTGGCGACGGCGCTCATATGGCGGTGCAAAGCCCTTTCGTCGTGGAAGGATGGGGACGGGGACAGTGGCAGCAGCGACAGAGAGCGAGTGTCGAGGTTTCTTAATGTGATCGACATCAGGGCGAGGCTGAGTCCGGCACTGCCAGAATCCTACTGCGGAAACGCGGTGCTGGTAGCCCAGTCGTCGGAGAAGTGCGAGGAAATGGAGAAGGGCAAGGGCTCGTTCGGGAAGCTGGTGGAGATGGTGGCGGAGGGGCCCATGAAGATCGGGGACTCGTACGTGAGGTCGGCCATAGACTGGCTGGGGGTTAACCGGGGGCTGCCCTACGGGGATTATATGGTGAGCTCGTGGCTGAGGCTGGGGTTTGGGGAGGTGGAGTTCCCCTGGGGAAAGGCGCGACACTGCGGCCCCATGCCCAACCACAGGAAAGACATATGCTGGATGTTCCCCACCCCCACTGCCTCTGCCAATGAGGGTCAAGGTGCTGGTCACGCCGGAATTGATATAAATGCCCTGGTGGCGCTCCCCCCACCGGAGATGGAGCGCTTCCAGGCCCACTTCCTTGACTTCTTCTCCAATGAATGAATTACTGTAGTTACTACTACTACTGTTGTGCGACTGCAGTAATATTACAGTGTTGTGTTGTGTTGTGGTTAGTCCATGCCGCCTCCGCCAGGCTGGCATGTCATGTTGAGCGTATGTCTGTTCTTTCTAACGACATCTGCAATAAAAGATACATGTTATTAGATATCTCCATTTATTTTTACTTTTATGTTATTATTATTATTTTTTTATTTTTTATTTTTTATTTTTCATTAAATTTTATTTTATAATTAAATCGCATAGAATAAAAAATTAAATTAAAAAGAAAAACTTAACCTTAAAATTGAATGGGCCCTTGTTTTTTTTTTTTTATGACGTGAATCCGCAGCCGTTTTCGTACACTGATTAAACTTTCGGTGGAACCTAATACCTGCAAATCAAGTCTGACGAGAAAGTCACACTAAACAAATCGACACATAACCTAAGACGTGGAGTTTAAACCCATAATCTGACGGAACAAGGCCTCTCTCTTTCTTTACAGAGTTCGTCGTCCTCAAGTAGAACAAAGTTGGTCTTCGTCCCACGAGTTCAATTAAATCTGTCATCGTGTCTTAGCAAAAAGAAAGATAAGCTTAAATATAATGCTGAATTATAAAATAAAATTTTGATAAAAATAAAAAGATAAAAGACACATAATGCCACATTATTGGTTGTTATAAGAAAAATAGGGAAGATGGGACAGGCTAACAAAACCCTTTCATCATTTTATATACATAATAAAGAAATTCAGTCTAAATTTTTATTTAATTTTTATTTTTCACATCATTATATATTTATATCTACTAGGGAGCACATTGAATGGTTAAAATTAATTGTTGTTATACAATAATTAAATTACTTTTAATATAAATTTTTAATATAAAAATTATTTAAATAAATTAAATTATTTTACATAATTAATTTTTAATATTATTTATTTATTTATTACATAAAAATTATATAAATAATATTCTTTTTATTTTACAATTTTTTTTATAATTTATAATTTTTTAATATAATAATTGATACTCAAAAATCATCCACAAAATAAATGAACCCCAAAAGGACATAGTATTATATTGTTATTATTCCACAATCCCACCCACCTGTCCCTTTCTTTGATTTTATTTTATTATTATTTAAAATAGTGGAGCCCACAAAAAAATAAAAAACTGATGTCACCACGTGGCGATACACTCTCCATCCTAAATATATATATTAGATTTTCTTAATCACAATTTTTTATTAATTTAATATTTGATCAATATTGAATTAATATTTGTTCTATTCTTTCAATATTATTTTTAAATTATAATTTTTTAAAATAATAATCCATCCGTCTCAATACAATGGACTTATTTATTATTTTTATTTGTCTCAAAATAATAGTTTTATTTCAATAAATAACTATATCACCATAAAATTACTCTTACTATTTTATTTTTATTACACAATTGTCATTATTTTTTACACTAATACACTCACAAGGCAAAAAAAAATTTTATCCATATTTTTTATCAATATAATATCAATATTTTTCAAATTTCGTGTCCAACCCAATTAAGATTATATTTATGGGATGGAGTATAAACAAACACAATATTTCATTAAAAAAAATCAAAAAATCAAAAAATTAATTAAAAAAAAGTCAAAAAAAATATTACAAAAATCAAAAAATTAAATATTCAATCTAAAATAATAGTATATTTTATATTTTTACATAATTTCTCATATTACACCGAGCCACTTATATTTTTGTAATATTTAATTTATTAAAATAGTAATTAATACTTTTATTGTTCATCCGTCCATTTTAAAGGTTTACATTTTTTTTTTCTGGTTGATATTTGAATATTAACTATTATATCAATATATATAGTACAAATTAAATAAAAAAGATAAAAATATTTTTATTAGTGTCTTATAATACAAATATAATGACATTTGTATAAAAATTTATACAAATGTAATGATATTTTTACCTTTAAACCAAATTAAATATTTGAAAAAATAACATATCAATATAAATTACTAATGTCAAACAGTTACCAAACACTTTAATATAACATCGAATCCACTAGTCAAACAGCTAATTAAATCATTTTGTAGAATATAAAATCTTATAAATTATAAAAATATTATAAAAATAAAAATATAATAATATATTAATATAAATTACATAAACAAATTATATAAATATATATAATAAACATATCATATGACATATGACAAAGTAGGTATCTTAGACATCTTGAAAGAGATGTCTTGAAGAGTATACTTCCTAATTATTTATTTATTTTTTATATATAATCTCAAGGGTGTCTGATATTTTCACTTTTGTTCTGTTGTTTATTTTTTATTTTATACTAATTTTTTTCACTTGGAATAAATAGGGCATCCAATCCGGTACTATTCACTGCTCCTCCGTCGTATCGTATGAGTTCATTCAATCCTATACCGAAAATGTGTTCCGAGTGCCAGATTACGATACATGTTTCAATTTAGAAAATTATTTTTTAATCAATTTTTTTTTTTCCTTAAAAGAAAATTTTGTTTTTACAATTTTCATATTCACTTTCCTATCTTATTGTTCAAGTCTAACCGTAGCCGCCTGCCCCGCCTGCCTTTATCGTCTTCTTTTCGATTGTCATTTTGCATCTTTATCTTCGGCCAATTTGATCTTTCTCTTTTGATATTTATGATTTGTTACACGTTAATTTCTTTTCTGCCAATTTGTTCTTTATCTGATCCTTTCTGTGTGAAATAAAACATATTTGCATATACCAATTATAATGAAAGAATTGAATTATAATGGAAGTCATAGGTGGGTAATCATAATTTTGACTGTTTCTGGTATGTTTTTCTAATCTGTCAAGAACAAAAAAAACATCAACAAGAAACTGTTCGAATATTAAAATAAAGGCAATATAATTTCTGGAGATTAGAGATTAAAAACCTGACTAAACAAGGTTTAAAAATCTAATTAACCGAGGATAAACTCATAATCCCCTAGTGACTGGAATTCGCTGCACCGCAATCAGATGAGTGTGTAGCATTTAATTGATTTATGTACCTTGCACTCCATCTCATATTCACCTTCAAAAACACTATATCAACATATCGATAGATGGATGGATAGATTCCAAGCCTCATCCAGGCTACAAACAAATTTCAAAATGTTGTTAGCTTTGTTAGCTTCCAAGCGTCAGGAACTAACAACAGATGTTACAAAACCTGCATTTCCCAAAATCACAAACAACTTAATCGCATCTCCTGGTGGCATACAAACACAACACGACTACGTGAAACTACTACATCTCCGAATTACAAACTAGCTTTTTTTAACAATCACACCACAACACAACCCCATATAAAGAGGAAGCCAGGCAGGCTAAACCTATCAACCAATAATCACAGGCCACCTCACATTGGCCAATAAACCATAAGAAAAGCTTTTTACTACTACCAATTACAAGACCAAATAACTTCTTTTTTTCTCCTTTCTTTTCCTTTTGTTAACATGAACTGGATTTCACTGGATATCTTATAATATCAACCTTACTGTTCAATTGACATCATCAACTCCCTGAGATTTCTTTAGTTTTGCCACAAGTATCCACATGTTAGCGAGTTCATTCTCTAGATAGGCTTCTCTTTGTTTGGAGTCTTCAACCTTTCTCTGCAATTTAGCCTCAATTTGGTCCTTTTCGGCCAGAGCCGCTTCGAATGCCTGCTCTCTTTCCCTGCTTAGAGCCAACTCTCTCTTTACCTCTGAAGATATGATGCTTGGATCATGCTTTTTGGCATAACCATCTTTCCGCCCATTCCTGTTGGGAATGTTGGTACGACGCTGAGAGGTAAACTTTTTCTGGGCTTCCAGCTCAGCAGCTAATCTTTCATTTTGGTTCATTAGCTTTGCAACTTCTTCTGACAAAGCCTTCAGTTCAACTGCTGCAGCAGATGCTAATCCCTTTGCATATGAGCTTTCCTCTGCAAGTTTGCTGTTGCGTAGCTCCAGCTCCTCCTTCAATTCAGATAATTCAACTAATTTCTTTCTCAGTTCTTCTGCTTCATTTGCCTACGAGGAATAAAAGTATTAACTAACACTGGCAGCCACTGAAGTAGTGCAAAACACTTACCAATGTTTGCAAAACTTATAAACGAATTTCAGAAAAGAATACATCCCTAATAAGACGCAGCTAGCAAATTGCTGAAAGTCACTGATGATACCAAAAGACAATTCAGGAAGATCCCTTTTTTATGTAAACTAACTGTCACATGGACATTAGTAGCGAAATTGGATGATTTCATCCATAAATGTATTGTAGCTTGATTGTTGTGGGACCTATGGTGATATAGCTTTATTTTTTAAATGTGAAAGATTGAATCTAATGATCCATTATAGGCAATTATTGATTCAAATTAAATATTTTAATTAGCATCAAGTATTATTAAATGCTAGGACCTTACCTAGGATTAGGGTTTAGGTTAGGGAAGCACTTCAAAACATCATACCTTAACTATCAACAAAGTAACAAAATAACTAGAAGAGCAAGCTTGGACAAATAGTTAATTCATAAAAGAACTACAATTATTTATCTACTAAATTTAGGCCGTACAATGACTATCAGGCACAAGAGTAGACAAATTTTGAATGCACCCGTTTGTAACTGTCAGCTTGATTAGTTAAAGCATAGCCATGCAGGGAATCAGTTCCCAACTTATAAAAGAAGCTAAAGTTCAGAAAAGGAGTAAGATTGAATCAATTACCTGAACTTGCAGAAGCAATATGTCCTTTGAATCAATTCGAACTGCATTTTCTTGGCCATGCGGAGATTTGGAAAGAGATTTAGAAAAGCCTTGCAGATCATGACTTACTTGGTTTAAGCTAATATGTTCAGCCGAATTGGATGGCTTCTGTCTTAAGGAAGCAATAGTTTCCTGCAATTCCTCACATTCCAAAACCTGATAACAATGCTGTAGTTAATTGTTTATAGAACAAGTGGAAAAGATACTGAAGAAGTGAATATATGTTGCTTTCTAAATCGGAATGGAAAGCCTGCACCTTTTTGTTCAGCTGCTCCTGGATTACCCTATTATCAGCAGCTTTAACCTAGAAGCAAGCAAAAAAGCTTCGGTTTTGTTAGGAAAGAATCACAAAATGATATATTTCAGCTTCACTGCCTTAACATAATTGAACTATAAAATAAATCCCAAGATTATTCTAAACAATGACTAAGCCACTAAATTGAGGATTGAATAGGATGCATCTATAAACTAACAAAGTCAAGCTTTTCTATAATTGCAGTTTCAAGGCTACTTAACAACAATGAGAATGAGAAATCCTGGTTGGACCGCTTTGACAAGGGCCTACAGAACCTTGATCTGATCTAATAAACAAGCAGCATAGAAACAGGGATGTCAAAATTATGTTACCTCAAGTTCAAAAGATTTCTCATTTAACTGGGCCACGAGTTCTGCAATGGGCTACAGCATGAAAATGTCATTACCGTTGAAACAGGAATTTGAGCAATATAGCAACTGTAGAAAATAGAGAACTTTCTAATTACTTGCAATTCTTCCAGTTTATCCTTTTCACCATATGTAATGGAATCTGCAATTTGCTTTCCAAGTGATGTGATTTGATTGTTCTTTTTATGAATTTCTTCTTTTAAATTTCTCATCTCCACCTTAAGAAATAAATATGAAAACATATACATTATATATCTTCGAAAAACTTTGAAGCAAATACACAAAAATATTTTAAATAATAATTACTTGAATATGCTCCTTCCCAGGACTCTGTGCAGCCTCCTCAGATAATCGTTTTAAGGCACTCATTTGAAGAGCCACTTCACCTGACAAAATCTTATGCTGCTCCCTCAGAAGGTCAATTTCATCGATGGTCTTTATGCTGGTCTGATAAACATTTTAAAAAGGTCGTTACTCAACTATGCAGCAACATGGATATGATTTTCTGACAAAGTGAAAAAGAACTCAATAGGCTAAAGTACAATAGTGTGTCTTTTAAAGGCAATTATGAAAAGAGTTCCACAATTTTCATTATGAAAACAAAAATAATAATAATGATACATGAAAGTTAAGTAAATAAATGGGAACATATATGTAGAATACCAGTGGAGTTTCTGCCACATAATTATCCTCATTCTCGAACACTATGTCATTATGTTTCAACTCAGATAAATAGTTGGCAGGAGTACTTTCTGTGAGCAAAGAATGAGAAAGTCTTTCGTCTGTGTGAATATTAGTGCTATCAGCTTGAGGAGTTGAAGGATTACTTGCTGACTTGACTCCACTTGATTTCTCACTAGAGCTTGCCAAGTTCCCTGTGCCAGCATCTCGTTTCTAATAATGCAAGAAACTATATCAGTTTGCAGAATACTACAACTTAACATGTGAACAGAAAGTAGAATAAGTCAAAGCTCAAATGAATAAACAGGGAGATAAGAAAAGAACACAACTAAACTAAAATGCTGAAGCCAATAGGAAATAAATTATATCCCCTACACACCCGTAACTTTAACCAACCAAGTAACCCATTTTTCTTGGTCCTTTTCTCTTCCCTCAACTTCTCATCAATGGTGTCAGAACTGCCATCAAGGGAAACATACAGGTCCATATTTTCTTCATCCAAGATCAGGTCTCTCCGTCTATGTGGCAGATACGCAAGCTGTTGTCACATTAAAGTGGAAGTAGACATCAATTATAGAATAATTGATACTATGAGGCAAATCACCAACTCACATTCAAATGATGCAACCAAGGAAATATGGTGGATGCACTACCTCTTCTTCTCCAAAGGAATGCCTTCTTCTGGGTCCTGGGCGCAGGGGAAATCTCGTTGATTGTGAAGATTTTGTAGATACAAGAATTAGTTTTGTCAGCCTCTGTATTCTTCCCATTAAAGCAGCTTTAGCTTCTTCTTCCTGTTCCAATCTCGACTGCAGTCGCACTTGACCATCTTCCAGCTTTTGGCGCCAAATCAATATAAGATGTTGAAACAATTAATCTTACTTCTTTAAAGCAACTGAGAGTGCAAAGATGATAATTCCATTAATGTGCATTATGAATTAAACTGGTGATAAGGCCAAGTTAGTTTACTTCAACAGAACAGCATGATTCAAATGACAAAGAAACATGCTAATGTGGCCACATGACCAACACTAAGAAATATATAGTAAGTTCCAGGTTTTTGGTACAGGCAGATGTCAAATTAGTTTATATTACAGATGCATATGTTTTACTGGAAAGAAAGACTGACTAATAGACCCAATATGGTGTTCACTGCACATTGAAAGACTTCAGAATAAGACAAAAAACAAGCCTAAGGGTCTGATACCTAAGCACAAAAATCATTATAACTATACCCTTTTAACGATGCAGTAAATGGTGCCAGAATCACTTATGTGTGATGAGTAAGGAGAATAATGTAATTATAATTAAATTTCTAATGTAGGGGGAAAAGGAAAAACCTTCTGTTTTAGTCGCATGATATCACCGTCTCCATGGTCTTTCATATGTGGAACTGTAACTATGCCTCTCTTCAGCTGTTCCAACTCTTCCTTCAAGCAGCTAATTTCATTTTGGTACTTTTTTATTAGTGATTTCTCATCAATTATCTGCAAGTTTTGACTGATTCAATGGAATGGTGACATAAGAAGGCATTATCATCATGAAGATCAGATCTTTCCACACCTTGTTTTGTGCTGCTTGGATTTCAATATGTTTTGCTCGATGGGCAAACTTCAATGTGTTGTGCGTCTCCTCAGAGTTGCTTGATGAAGGAGTAACAGTGCAGACTAGCTGGTTTTGATCATATACAGAAACAAGAATGCTTCTTCAGAGAAAAATATGATATGCCCTTCAAGTTAATTCGGTCAACCACCCATGTCTCAGAAGCCAAGTTAACGAATAATTATTAAGTTCCCAGTAAAACTTAGAAAGTGTCTTTCAAATATTTTGTCTGTAAATATATGCTAAAAGCAGGCGGTTCATCATTAAAAAAGATGATATGTAACACATCCACATCCACAAAATAATGGTATGAACTCTTACAGATACACGCCCATGACCGCTGAGAGATGATTGGAGAAGCCTAGTCAATTTTGAGTCCCTGAAAGGTATGTGAGTAGATTTCCCATCCGTCAATTTTGAGATAACCTGATTATATCAAATGTCTCAGTCAATTATCAAATGGTAGTTTCACACTCAAATAAGTACGAGAATATTAAAGCCGGAATGTAGCAGTTAAGTAACTACATCAATAGTAATCCCCATAAAAATGGCTAGAGAATATTTCAGTATTGTCATCTCTACAATAAAGGAAACAAGAAATAAGAATGCAATACAACTCTTCACGCCAGTGTATACAGGAAACATGCTAGTGATTGAGCATAAGAACATTCACTGTTATGTGTGATATGCTTGTGGATGCATTGACTCGGGCATTTAAAGTTGTAAATTGTATATTTCAAGGCGTTAGAACTTAAGTCACAACTATTTGGGCCCTCACAGTTCCAAGAGTTAATAAGCTCTTATTTATATAGGATCCCTCTTTTCTGCGCATGCCTGTTGTTTCAACCCTTGAGCTCTCCGAACCAGCCAAGTCAATTAAGTTCTGCAAGTATTAGTGGAACATATGAGTAAATGGTTACCATAATCAGAAGAGGCGTACAGAACAATGCAATTTACAATCATGCATAGCTAAAAAAGTAGAATAAACTTAATAAAGTACAATTAATACCAGTTGTGACAAGCTAACAGCTTCACCTTCACAGTTTTCACCACATGGGCTACTCTCTATGGTCTGCAGATAAACATAGTTATTGGACTAACGGTTGGATTTGAATGCTAAAATGAAATAAGTAAAATTTTGCATCTAAGATAATTTTGGACATCAAAGATAATTAATTACCAATGTGAAGATTGTATGGCTTCTACTACTTTGTAAATTGAAGTTTGTTGACCCCACATGTCTGTGCTCTGCAGTTGAAGATGGATAAAAGCAGAAAAGGACAAGCCAGGCAACTTCATCAACTAAACAAGTAGATTTTTTAGTAATGATAAAACAAAAGGATTGCAGTAGCTGTCGATGGCTACATTGGCAGTGGAAGTACATATAATGACATCAAGTAGACATAAATATTATATTATCAAGAGTGAAAACAATAAGCCACACACTCCTTTAAGGGAAATCTAAACTGCACAGAAATTGATCTTACAGAGGTATTCATAAGAAATACTGGTCACATTCTTTAGAACATTAGTAAAAGTTAGTGATAATTTTGGACAACAGATCATTCAGTGCACTGCATACATTTAATTAATGGAAGAACAAGTAGCACCTTGTGTGCTGCAACGTGGATTACTAAGTTTTACCTTCTCCAGCTGCAATAAGAGAGAGGGCATGGGCTGGAGATAGTACAACTTCTTCCTTGACTCCTTCAACAAAGGTACCCTGATACAAATCAGAAGTGGGAAACTTCTTACTACTCGTTACAACAAGCTCTCTAAACAGAAAATCAGCCGCATGAAGATGATAAATTGATAATACATCACATAAATAAAAGTGATACATGTGAAATTTAATTCAGTTCTTTTGTTTCACTAATTTACTTCAATAGAATTTTATTTCTCCATTATAGGATTCTGTATCTCCCCCCGCTCTCTTCTTGCGTCATGGAGGACGAAGAAACAGTCCACTATCCCATGCTCCTCTGCAGAAGCTGAATATAAAAGTATCTAATGTTTGTGAACTCCCATGGATAGCATATCTTCTATCAGATTTTCATGTATCATTAGCTACTTATATTCCCTTTTCCCTTGCCAACAGGCCGGCTCTCCATATCACGCAAAACCCAAGGTTCCTTAAATGCATCAAGCATCTCAAAATAAATTTCTACTTGCTCCGTCATCACTATGACTCTGGATTTATTGAACCTAAGTTTTTCCCTCTACTCATCAGCTTGCTGATCTCCTCACAAAGACCTTTCCTGGCCCACAATTCTCTCTTCTTTGCTTCTCCAAGCTGCACCTAGGAGTGAGGTGTAGTTTTATGGGGGAGATGGCAGGATAGCGTGACAATACGCATTTGTGAAAGAATTCTTTAGAAATGTGTGGTGGACATGTGTTAAGTTTGCTAGGGTTATCGACATGTGCCTTAAAGATGTACATAAATATCTGATGTGCTATTCTCTAGGGAAAAAACAGAATGAAGAAATACAATATTTCATCTATCATCTTCACCCTTCATCCTTTGTTCCTTTCGTGGTATGAGAGCTATGGTACTCAGGTGCAATCTCATATCTTCGGGAGTTCTAATACACCTGAAGCCCAGCTTATGCAGTGCAACATACCAGAAGAACTTAACTGAAAGCGGATAGAAGCCATATCCATTTCATCCTTCAAACCATTCTGGAATGGTGTTAATGCACAACAAAAAGCACACCAAATCTGGAGAAATGAAGAGACATCAAAGAAGTGGAAAAGGAACATATTGTAAGTTACCCAGAAGACCGGGGCTTTATACGGATATATTCCTCCAGATACATGCCACATGGAACCCTTGAATGGTACAAAGACTTGCTTGAGACATAGCTATAGTACAGAAAGCCACAGGGCCTAAGGATGATGCTTTAAGGACTGAATTACAGAGGAGATTTCCCAAGATCCTTATCAAGAAACTTGCATCTCCTTCAGATTTCTTGATGGAGACTGGATTCTCTGATAGTTTAACCCTCTTCTTTTTTCGGAGCAAAAGATAAAAGGCCAGACTCCCGGCTGTTGGATTCTAGCGAAGCTTGTCATGTCTGTGCTACAAGCACATGTTTACATCCTTGGATCAAGCCACAACCCTAATCACCATCCACTTGCCTGATGGAACAACTTAACAAACTAACCTGTTTGACAGTAACTCTTCTACACACCTTATCCTCCAAGATGTCTACTATTTTCCTTCATTTCACTATATAATCTGTAAATAGGCTGTGCAAGGACTCAAACTGCCAACAAACATTTTTCCCTTCCTTGTGTGTCATTCAAGACCTGAAAATTATGTTTACCCTTCCTACAAGCCCCATGTCAATAGCCCTAACATACTTGACACTACACAACAAATCATCCTGGCCCACTACACATTTCTAGGGATTCTTCCGCAAATGCTTATTGTCATTGTTATCTTGCCATTACTAAATGCCAAGTTCTCAGAAATGAATTGCAAAATATAAAAGACTCCAAACAATTAAGTCTAGCCCTCTTGTGCATGATAAACTATTTTTCAGCAGTTATATCATAAAAAAAAATTTCTTTAAAATAGTTGAATAATGACAAGATTGCTAAAAGGGGTTCTAGGAGAGACAACAAGGATAGTCCTGAAATTCAGTCAAGGAGAGACTGAAAATTCAACATCAAACAAAAGATCACCTGTAAATCTTCCCTAATTCTCAAATTTTGCCCAGCTGGATTCAACAAATCATTGATGACCTGAAACAGAGTATCCTTAAGAACAAACAAAACAATTCTTCATTCTGAAGGATAAATCTATATATGAAAAGATAAAAACAAAAGTTGTATCACAATAGCAACTAGAACATTCATGTATAATAGAATTTTGAATAGTAGTATTAAGCAGCAGTCACATGCATGTCCAGAGGAATTTAGGTTGACATCTAGAAATGGCACTATAAAAAATCATATCAGAAAATACTGGCATGAGCAAAGGAGCATGGAACCTGATGCACTGACTAATATTACACGGAGGAAAAGTGAGAGCAAAGCAGAAGACCACGAAGAGAGATAGAGCAGTTAAGACAAAAAAATTTATGAACCAGTGGGCTACAGATGTGAGAACATGACCATCAAACCCATACATTACATGACTCTGGTGGAGTGGATGGTTTATGGTGGGAAATACCAGTTACCCCTGACAAGGGGTGAGCATCCAAATAATTAGACTAAGATTTCTGTGAAGAAAAAGAATCGATAGTATAATGGAATATTAGCATGATATAAGCACTCCAGTTTGATTCTGATATTTAATAGGAATGTTATCTGTAGAAAGAAGATTTGTTTAATAACAACATTCATCAAGTTGAAACACAACCTAATTCATTTATCAGTAACCCAGAAATTAATTAGAGTCTAACCTCATTATAGATTTCCAAATATGTGACACGAAGGAGAAACTCCCGAGTTGGAGTCTGCAGCAATCACAGGCATAGATTAGCTATTTTTTTTTAATTATGTACTACCTAATTGCGCAAATTGTTAGGTATTAAAAAAGCAAAAATAAAAATTATTAATATTATGCAATAATGTGCAAATAACTTCCAAGTACCTCTTGAATGATACTGAAAGCATCTTTTACAGCCAATGGAATTATACCAGGAGACCTCTGATCGCCCTATGGTGTAGAACAAGAAAAAACACAGCAACCAGTTAGATTACTTACACTTGCTCGGTTATGTCTCCACAATACAACAATTAACACTTGTCCTCTACAATTACCTATATATTCCACTAAAAAACATCTACTTTTTTTTATTTAAAATTTTCTACTGAACACATTACATCATAAACCTATTTCATTTCAAACTTTATAATTCCCAAGACACCAGAGCACAGCCAAACAAACTGAGAATGTCTGCCTAAAATGGAGGGTTAAAAGGTAGTGAAACTTCATTAAGAAAGCATAACATAAAAACAAGGCTTCAATCGCATGTGTGCAGAAGGATGACTACTTAGCTTAAGAAAGCATAGATAAGCACATACGATGGACATGATAATATATACAAGGTCCAAAAACCCTTCCACAAGTAAATAAGGCCTTTTTGCTAGCATTTTTTTCAAATGTAGTTAGAATCCACTCAAATAGCAGTAATTAATGTATTTGACAATTGTTGTGGTAAGAAATCATGTTGTTAAATAACTTAAATCAATTTGGCTCGTTCCTATTTGGTTTTATTATTCATAAGTCAATAGGTAAAAACTCAAGAAGATAAAACAACTTAACTTTAAAAATGTAACAGGAGAAAAAGTTCCCTTACATGCATTGTGTGAGTCTTTCCACTGCTTGTAACACCATATGCAAATATTGTACCTATAATTGAAATATATATATACATTTTTTTTGTGTGTAAATGGAACAATATGGCATATTATAAAACTAAAGAAGTTAAGAATTAGGAAGCTATAAGTAAAATAGAAAATATGGGAGAAAAATAACAAGATATGCAAAGTGCAAACTGATTGCCAATGATGAAGAAATAAAAGAAAAATTAATGACAGCCTAGCTTATAAAACTTATAGGCTGGGGCTAGCTGTTATAAAATTTTATTAAATAGATAATTATATATAACACAGATACAGCGGTTACATGGGTTATGCCAATCAAACAAATAAATACAACTGAATCTTTACATATTATAATGCCCACCCATTATTAGAGAACACTTCAAGAAAGAAAGGAAAAAAGAAGGAATATATATGTATGAAACACAGTGAAGTTGGAATCCAATGGGAGATTGATTTTATATAGAAACAAATAATGAGGGTAGTCAAAATGAAACGTTGAGATGGAGGTTTGGGTAAGTAGGATAAATAATGATATATTAGATAAAAAATGGGAATATAACAACAAAAAAAAAAATAGAAACACACTCAAGATGGTTCTGTAATTTCTGATGCCACAAGTTCAGTGATTTTGAGATGTACTAGGTAGGACAAGTAGAACATAGACATTCCCTGGTTCATATTATAGGGGAAAGAGAAAAATATAAAGCATTTGAACAAAAAGTGTTAGAAGAAGAGCAGAGAACACAAAAAGTTTAGATGACAATGTGCTCTGACTGAAAACAATGGCAACATGCGATGAATATATTTGAACCCACATGATGATATGAAGGCTTCAATGATGTATGAAACAGCAAATATAAGTTGAATGACAATTCTCAACACATAACAAGCTAGTTCAAAAGTTCACCATATACTGGCAGAACTGAGGAAGCCCTTTATGAGGCACATGGCTTGTTTTTATGGTGGACATTTCTTTTAAAATATGTAGGTTAGCGAGTCTCCATCCAATAACTTTCACAAGTTATGCTATGTTAATCATTCATATTCCAATTGGTAACCAAACAAACTGCTACGATCAAGGAACCAGACAATTATATACCATTGATTCCATCCATTGCACCACTAACAGCATGCTGTGCAGCAACATCATAAACATGCCTTGTTGTGGTTGTAGGGCCAAATACTCGATCTGCAAATTGTTATGCATCTCTTTAAGTATGAAGACTAAAGATTAGGGCAAGCAATATAGTTTAGTTTAGAACCCGGATAATGCACAGATACAGCTTATCAACTAGAGGGGCATAATGCAAGGCAGAATGATCAACAAAACAATCCACAAATGCATATATAAAACATAGGAACCACAGCTCACTTCATCAAACCACATTATATAGGCATAAATGTGTGTTTTGAAGACATAATATAAAGTGACGAAAATCTTGAACAAGTAGGTAACCATGGCCATTTTCGCCTCCATGACTATAAATGCTGCAGGCCAGAATTTGATCCAGCCCGTACACAAAATAGTATCAAACGGTAATGACGGATTCCTATTAAAAATATACCATATGCGTATGCAATTGAAGGATTGTGTTCATTCCTCACGATAGAATCCCCATCAGCGTACCATGCAATCTCCTCTCCTTGTCGAATTTCCCTTGGACTGTACGTAAAAGACACAACAGAAGGTGGCCACCGAACTTTTGGCGAAAAATAAAAACAGATTAAGTGGGTTCAAGAAGTAATTTTTAGAAATTACCTAAGTGGACGAAACCGCACGGTAACTGTAACATTTTCTTTAGACCTCCCAACATCCAGATATGGGTTTTCTGATTGAAAGTAATGAGGTTTACTTGGAGCAGATGACGACGCCGGCGAACTGAGGTCGTCTAGGGAAGGCTCAAGATGTTGACGCGATGATGACGTCGTCGATGAAGTGGGCGAGTTGTTGCTGAATGTTGCTGCGGGCCTTGGAGAAGTTTTCTTGGGTTTTGACCCTTGTCTAGATGCCATCGTATTAGTAGCTTTGACAGAACAAAAGCCAGAATAAAATCAATTAAAATCGACCCAGATGTTCATAAAATTAAGAGAAAACAAGAAAAGCCTCCAACTTGATGGCAATGGAAGTAGGTTGAATGCTAAAAAGAAAAGAAAACTGGTAACCAACATCCACATTGCTAAGAAAATACCTAAAATCAGCACAGGCGAGTTCAGCTCAGCAGCAGACGTCCGCACAAATAGAGAACCAAAAGAAGTGCAAATCCATTCAGGGGATGGATCCGAATTTATGAGGAGGGGAAGAAAATCAGATCTCGTGAAAAGATGGAGTGAGTTGGAGGAATGAAATGATGGTTATTATTGTAATGTTCAATCATAACGATGTTAGTTGGGAGAAACAGTCGACCTCCGCTGGGACTCGACTGGAGTGGAGGAGTGGCTGGGGGAGGGGGTGGGGATGGTGAGAGGGGGACTTTTGCCTTGGGTGAATTGAGAGGCAGAGGGAGATGGTTGGCTTGCCTTAGAAGCGAGATGATGGTTATGGAGTTGGAATTAGATTACTAGTAGAATGGAGGAATTGGATGCCCCTTTACATTTAACCACCGAATCTAATAGCCTAGTAAACTAGGCCTGAAAAATATTCAATTAAATTATGCTGCATAATAGAGATTATATTATGTTGCTACAAAATAAGAAATCGCAGTTAAGGGTTTGTTTGGGTTTGAGTTTTATGTTATCCAATTTATAGACTTTTCTTGAAAAAGGATTATACATGAACATTAATTTGCATTCAGAAACAACAAAACATGACAATTAAATTAAACCCAGAACGATGATTGTGTGTCTCATGGACAGAAAAAGCAAGCAACCCATCATGCTTCTCTATTTAGAATGCACACTGGAAACAGGAGTAGAATTAGCAACAGTGGGAACAGCGCTACACAATGCTGGAACTGCCAAGTATGGATATGGGGGTGGGGAGGGAGTGGATGGTGCATGCGACTCATCAGCATAGGAGAAGTCGGGGCAACATTACATTTATTTATATAGGAGTACAATATTTAGATCATCCTTTTCTCTCTTTTTTTCATGTTTGTTTCTCAGGAGCAATCCACCGCCCATGTGGACTTCCCCTCCCCCCCCCCTCCTCCTCCTCTCTCTTGGTGCGTTGTTTTCCTGATGAGAGGTCTGAGAGTATTTCTAGGCGCGCTTATCCAAGGCGTACCCGCTACAGCAAATCTCCATGGAGCATTAACATGCTCCGGCAAGGCATAAGCTATGCCAACTCTTGGACCTACAAGTATATCTTCCGGCTCTTCTCCATCTAAAAGTTCCAAACCACCTACACCACCAAAGTCACTCTTTTACCCACTTCCCATAAACAGCACACAACCAGTAAATGGGTAGTTTCTCATTCATTTATAAATAGCAGTGTACTTAGAGCAATAGCAATGGTCTGTGTATAGATGACCTATTTTTTTAATGGAGGATTTTTTTCAATCAAATAATAAAATAAAACTACAAAGTGACTTTATATTATTGTGGGTGAAAAATAACAGGACTTGGCAAATGCTTGGTGCAGGCGAGGCCATGTTGATGCTGCCTCACACCATTAGCTTTTGTTTTAAGCCACTGCCTATTTATTTGTTACAATTTGTTGTGTTAGAAGATGAAAATTGACAAATAAGCACCACGTGAACGGATTGAGGCATTTTCCAACATTTGCCATTGCAATTGCTCTTACCAGGAATGAAAAGCGGATGATTAGACCACTCTGTTGTAAGTCCCAAAGCTTGGCCAACCTAGACGACGACAACAACAAAAAAACCAGTAATTGATTTGTGCGGAATTGCAGCATTTATTAGCAAATATTTCGAGTAACTATTCACCTTTCCTGGGCCCGACAGAAGAACAGGCTTATCCGACATTGAACCACGCCGCCGCTGTATGGTTTCCAATCCTTCAATTAGCAAAACATCATCAACAATATAGTGGCTTAGTAAAACAAGTCAACCACTTCAACAGTAATATCTAAGAAGTCAGCATCAGTGTTTTTCTTTGAAGCATATGCTGTGTAGGACACTGCTGTGATAGGGAACATTGCTGACAACAGGATATGTGAAGTTATATTTTGGTTTTTAGCTGTCAAAAGCTAGTTGTGTTCCAACACTGTAAATGCTTGTCTTCTTCTAGAATGGTGAGTGAACCATCAAGGATACTAACCACTAAGGGGTGCACAGGCACGTATTAGGACAGCAGCACCTACCCCTTCCTTATCTGCAACCACATTCAGCATGTTGTGAAGACCATAGCAAAGATAAACATATGCATGCCCTCCAGCTCCAAACTGTCAAAACAAAGATTCACCTGGCTTACTTTTCCTAGCATTACAAGGTGTACAAGTTCAAATGCTATAATCATGCCCTTATACTAGAACCCATTTTTTTTGCTTTTAACTTAGAAAACACCCGAATACCAGTCGGTCCCATGACTCTTCAAAATTTCTTCATAGTCCCAGTTTGGGAGCTATGACTTGGGTTCGGCCCCAGGGTGGGTGAGTATATGTAAGTGTGTGTGGAGTTTTAAGAAAATAAAGAATAAAAAATTCAGCATATCTTAACCATTCTTGCCATTACATATCAAGACATTAAGCAAACAACCCAATCTAGAAGCAAATATAAATGTTGAGACATATAACTGCGATTGGTTAACAGCAAAGTATTTGTTGCCCAAAGCCATTTTGCTCAACAAAAGACACAAGAATGTATTTGGAAAATATATAAAACCCTTTGTAGTAGGGTAGACTTGTGGCCATAAGGCCAACAAGTTCAAACCCCGCTTCCGGCCTTGCTTGTCACGTAAGCTCGTCTAGTTGCCAGCCTAGTTTGTTCAGAGTGTTTTTTGAAAGATAGATGTTGCAGTTCCTACGTCATAGTATATATATTTATTAGAAGCAACTGAAACGATCAACTAGCTGTTTGCAACTTTCTTCTAGAAGAAACCGAAGCCTATAATGATTCAAAGAACAAATACAAAATGTCTAGCTGCACAAGCAATAATGCTGTTTGCATCCTTCTTCTGAGATCCTACCAACCATTGAACTTGAGCAGATCCAGAATACGTAAAATAGAAATATAAGGAAATCCCATTTTACAAGAAAATAGGCTATATTCACTGCGAACAAGTTCAGCAGAATGCAGCAATACTGCATATGAATAGCCCAGAGTTCTTCCATTTCACTACAAGGATTCACTTTGAGCACGTCGGTTTCAAAATGAGATAAAGGAAATATGAACAGGAAAAAATCGGAGGGTGGAAATATCTCACAACAGGAGCTGTCCTTGCAGTTATGCCAAATCGAGCGTGGCAAGCTGAGTCATTTTGCCTATAAGCTTCAACCTTTTTTAAGACAAAAACCAGAATATCAATCCCTCTCACCATGACTTGTATAGATATATCACAGCAATTGAATACAGGAAGGCAACGAGAGAGGCGAGACGCAGTATAGATATTACTATTTCACCTCAGTTATCTGGAGAACAACATCATCTTTCTTGAGATGCTTTCCTAGCAAGCGTGGGCCAAGATCAAGGGCATCGACCTGGTAGAAATCAGGATTCAAAATTGAATACCTTCCTAATGAAATTGAACAAATCGAAGTAACGGGCTGTGCCCCATCATGTTCTTGACAATGTGGATGGGATTCTGCTTTTGGTTTGACACTCGTTGCGGATGGGCTGGATTTTTCAACGGCTGTGGTTGGGTATGTGATTTTGACGATTCGTTTGCGCTTTTGAACCTTCTGACGCTGCTTGTTCATTAGAATAGAGATGGAAATAAGGAAACGAAGAGGGGGCGAGGCTGTATTGAGTCGCGTAAGCAATCGCTCTCATTGCCGATACAATACAAAATCTGTCTTTTCCCCGTCACACACAGTACACTGTACACCTACTCCTCCTTGGGCGGTCGAAAATCTTTCACATCTTGACCCATTTAGTGACTAGTTGGGTTAAAGCATATACATCTTCAATTAATAAAAAATAAATAAACAAGTTATTGGTTAAAACCTCCTATCGATTCCCCCAGTATCACTTGTTCTTCGAACTTAGTTTACAAGTATTAGATTTGATCCGCGTTTATGCAATGCACATTTTCGAACTTTCGGGAAAGCGAATTCTCATTTATATATATATATATATATATATAAAATGTCTTAAATATTGACGTTCTGATCTGCTCATTTTTACTTTTTAATAAGTCACATAACTTAATTTAGACTGGATGTTCCAAAAGAATATTCATATTCTTATAATAGACTTTTCCGCAAAAATTCTCCTTGATTGACTAGAAAGATGGATAACGTACTAATCTTTCAATTTCTTGGTCGTGAATCTCGGAAAAAACAGTTCGTTTGACATTTAGATGGACGTTCCGAAAGGATATTCATACTCTTATAATAGGCTCTTCAGTAGAAATTATCCTTGATTGAGTAGAAAGATAGATAATGTACTAATTTTTCAATTTATTGGTCGTGAATTTCGAAAAAAAAAACAGTTCGTTTGACATAAAAAATAATTTATGAAATATAACTGTTAAGCACAAAAAATAATAATAATAGTAAGTGGCAGTAGGATTCTAGGTAGGGTCTGAATGAAAGCCAAAAAGTCTGGAGGTCGGGCAGAATAAAGGTCGGGAAAAGGAAGAAAGGTCGGGCGGAGTCTAAAAAAAAAGGTGTACCCAAGTCGGGTAAACCGTAGATCGGATGAAAGGCGAAGTCGGGCAGACGCGGAGGTCTGTCAAGAGGAAGGTCGGGCAGACGCGGAGGTCTGTCAAGAGGAAGGTCGGGCAAGGAAGAGGTACGGACAGACGCGGAGGTCTTCGGTCAAAGACGGAGGGCGGCTGATGCGGAGGTCGGCCAAGTGTCAAAGACGGAGGGCGGCTGATGCGGAGGTCGGCCAAGTGAGGTCGGGCGAAGAAGCAGGTCGGGCGAAGGACGAAGTCGGGCAAAAGAAATTTGGCAGTGGACAGGCAGGTCGGGTAAGAGGCAGGTCTGAGTTCTGTGACTGGTGGGAACGGTTGAAGGAAGTTGTAATACGTGTCAATAGAGGAGAAATTGGTGGTCGGTTGACAGCGGTTGCTGTAACCGACCAGACGGCGGTTCAAACCGTTTTCTTCAAAGGTTATTTAAGGATTCAGATTTATTCTGAAAAGGCATCTTCAATCAACTTCAACAAAGCAAAGTCAGATTTGGGGATCACCACTTTAAATTTCAGTCTTTTATTTTCCAGTTTATTTTCTGTACGTTACAGTGTTTAGAGATTCCTAATCTCATGCACTAATTAATCAAGTTTAAGGATATTTTCTATATCTTTGAATTTTACTTTATTTTTGTTGAAAAATTACATCAACAAATTGGCGACCACAGTGGGAGCAAGACAAAATTGCTCATTCCAATTCCGGCGATAATTTCATACGTCTTAGATCCGGCCGTATCATCGGAAGGGTCCATATGGCAGGTTCACAACCTCAATCATCTTCGGCACCGGTGGGAGAATCCGTTCCACCACCTATTGTGCCAAATGCAGGGGAAATCCCACAACCACCAACTGATTGGTGGTCTTATGTTCAACAAATGAACAACCAGCACGCTTTGGTTATGCAGAATATGTTGCGTGAGCAACAAACGAACATGTTGCGTGAGCAACAGAGTCTGATGCAGAACATGATAGATCAAGCACTGTCAAGGGTTAGTCTTCAACCCACTCAAACTCCACCAGGAGTATCACCATCCAGACTACAGGCAAATGTCGCAGGGCCATCATTCGTGGATAGTGCATTTCCAAGCGTCACAACTTTCAACCGAACAGATATGGGGAAGATTCCTCTAACTTTCCCAGATAATGTTCCTTTGGGACCGAGGGTTGATAATACCCAGCCGAATGAGAGATTAGGAGGACAGACTCATAATCCCATTCCAACCGAACCAGCCTTCTCTAGAGAAGAAAGGTTGGAGGGACAGACTCATAATCCCATCCCAGCCGAACCAGCCTTCTCCAGAGAAGAAAGATTGGGAGGTCAGACTCACGATCACATTCCAGTGTTCGACCATATTCCACCCAGAGTAGATCCGGAGGATATTGCTCAAGTTCTGCGGGTGCATTTCGGAATGAATCCGCAAACGGTGAACAGGCCGGTTTACCAGAGGCCATTTCCAGAAAGGATCATTAACGATCATCCTCTCCCGAGAAATTATAGGCCACCAGACTTCTATTCTTTTTCGGGAGAAGACGGAGCCTCTACCATTGAGCATGTGGGTCGCTTCACGGCTCAATTGGGAGAAGTAGGCAACAATCCGTTTCACAAGTTACAATTGTTTGGGTTGTCGCTCACAAGAACAGCTTTTTCTTGGTATGTCAGTCTGCCGCCTGGACAGTTGCAAACTTGGGAAGAGTTAGAGGCAGATTTTCATGGAAGGTTCTTTAATCCTCTGCCGACAGTCTCACTGATAGACCTTCTGGAGATCACGCAGATGCCGGAAGAGACCGGCTACCAATTCATAGAGAGGATGCGATTGATGAAGGGACGATGTCCTACGATGATCAATGAAAGCGAAATGACCAATTTGGTGGTCAGGAACATGCATACCAGACTTCGCGAGGCCCTGACAGCCCACGATTTTCAAGATCTGGCCAGTTTAGCATCCACAACAAGAAGGTTAGAATCCTTTTTTACAGAAATTAATCATGACTTCCGTCAGGGGGGAGATGCTGAAGCAATGTTAGTGCAAGATCGACCAACGTCCAGGCCAGCACCATTCCGCGATAAATGGAGGTCGGGTCCAACGTAGCCTCGAAGGATGGAGGTCGGATCTGAGGTTGACGTAGCCTCGGATGCCGGCCTGCAAACTCCTAAAACATCACTGGAAGTGATGTTTAGGAGTCTTGAGGAGGAGGCTTATTGTTAAGCACAAAAAATAATAATAATAGTAAGTGGCAGTAGGATTCTGGGTAGGGTCTGAATGAAAGCCAAAAGGTCTGGAGGTCGGGCAGAATAAAGGTCGGGAAAAGGAAGAAAGGTCGGGCGGAGTCTAAAAAAAAAGGTGTACCCAAGTCGGGTAAACCGTAGATCGGATGAAAGGCGAAGTCGGGCAGACGCGGAGGTCTGTCAAGAGGAAGGTCGGGCAGACGCGGAGGTCTGTCAAGAGGAAGGTCGGGCAAGGAAGAGGTACGGACAGACGCGGAGGTCTTCGGTCAAAGACGGAGGGCGGCTGATGCGGAGGTCGGCCAAGTGTCAAAGACGGAGGGCGGCTGATGCGGAGGTCGGCCAAGTGAGGTCGGGCGAAGAAGCAGGTCGGGCGAAGGACGAAGTCGGGCAAAAGAAATTTGGCAGTGGACAGGCAGGTCGGGTAAGAGGCAGGTCTGAGTTCTGTGACTGGTGGGAACGGTTGAAGGAAGTTGTAATACGTGTCAATAGAGGAGAAATTGGTGGTCGGTTGACAGCGGTTGCTGTAACCGACCAGACGGCGGTTCAAACCGTTTTCTTCAAAGGTTATTTAAGGATTCAGATTTATTCTGAAAAGGCATCTTCAATCAACTTCAACAAAGCAAAGTCAGATTTGGGGATCACCACTTTAAATTTCAGTCTTTTATTTTCCAGTTTATTTTCTGTATGTTACAGTGTTTAGAGATTCCTAATCTCAGGCACTAATTAATCAAGTTTAAGGATATTTTCTATATCTTTGAATTTTACTTTATTTTTGTTGAAAAATTACATCAACAATAACATTAGCTAAATAGTTGAAAATTGATTTATCTTCCACAAGTACCCAAAAGACTAAATAGAATGTGAGAAAATAGTTCCCATGCAAAACTACGTTTTTCACATCTAGCTGTAGACGTGTGTAGATGTCCCTGATGATTTATGGAGGGGGGGGGGAGAGAAAATAGGGTTAAGAAAAAATAGGGTTTGAGAAAAATATAGGTGAGAGCCACTGGGATGATTTATGGAGGGGAGAGAGGGAGAAAATAGGGTTCGACGAGATGGGACACGTTGGAAACCCAGGTGTCTGGAAGCTTTTATAATCTTGGGGGATTAGGGTCGTGGCTACATTGTAGAATTTAGAATTAAATACTATATTATTGAATTTAAAAGGATATACATATATACAATACACAGTGATAGATGGACTTGGAGAACTTGCAAACTAGGTCCGATCGTTACAAATTCAACCCCTATATCACCAGACTATTTTTTAGAGGACTTGATGAATATATGAAGTGGGGAATAATATAAGTAATATAAAAATTAATATTTTTATTTTTATTTTTTTTGATAAGATTATTATTTACTAATTTAATAATTGTTGATGTATTTTTTCAACAAAAATAAAGTAAAATTCAAAGATATAGAAAATATCCTTAAACTTGATTAATTAGTGCCTGAGATTAGGAATCTCTAAACACTGTACGGTACAGAAACTAAACTGGAAAATAAAAGACTGAAATTTAAAGTGGTGATCCCCAAATCTGACTTTGCTTTGTTGAAGTTGATTGAAGATATCTTGCCAAATGATGATCCAAACCTTTAAATATTCTCTGGGGAACCGTACTTAAAACCGTCACCCGAACGGTTACAACGTCTCCTTTCCAACCGTCTTCCAACCCTTTTCATGCTGACACGTGTCCTCAGCAGACCAACATTATCCTTATATTTCACTCTTTGAGCCGACCTCAGACCTTCCGCTCTTTTGGCCCGACTTCGTCCTTCACCCGACCTGCTTCTTCGCCCGACCTCACTTGGGCCGAACTCCGCATCAGCCGCCCTCCGTCTTTGATCGAAGACCTCTGCATCTGTCCGTACCTCTTCCTTGCCCGACCTTCCTCTTAACAGACCTCTGCGTCTGCCCGACTTCGGTCTGGATTTGGATCAATTCTTGAGATCTTACCTTTCTTCCTTTTCCCGACCTGAAAGCCTCCC